GTGACATATTGGAGGCCTTTGAAGGGAAGATTGAGATATATGACCTATTTTATCATCTGAATAGTTCTAAAAGGCAACATTTGAATAGTTCTAAGAGATTGTACCTCTGGAAGACAACCACTATATGCATGTTATAGTGTTGTGTTAATGCCATGTTTTTAGGCTCTTTAGGAAACCCACCAGAATAGAATGGAGAATCATGGTGACTCAAAGAGTAAAGGGGATACATTTATCTGACAAAACTCACCATGGAAGCCCAGCAGTAAGCAAACAAGGCGGGCATATAAGAAACAATTATGGCCCTGACCGGTTTGGCTCAGTGGATAGAGCATCGGCCTGGGGACTGAAGGGTCCCGGGTTTGGTTCCGGTCAAGGGCATGTACCTTGGTTGCGGGCATATCCCCAGTGGGGGGTGTGCAGGAGGCAGCTGATCGATCTTTCTCTCTCATCAATGTTTCTGGCTCTCTATCCCTCTCCCTTCCTCTCTGTAGAAAATCAATAAAATATTTTTTTTTAAAAAAGAAACAATTATGATGGTACTAGAAAGAATTTTTTAAAAATATATTTTATTGATTTTTTACAGAGAGGAAGGGAGAGGGATAGTGAGAAACATCGATCATGATGGTACTAGAAAGAAATTTTTTAAAATATATTTTATTGATTTTTTACAGAGAGGAAGGGAGAGGGATAGAGAGCCAGAAACATTGATGAGAGAGAAAGATCGATCAGCTGCCTCCTGCACACCCCCCACTTGGGATGTGCCTGCAACCAAGGCACATGCCCTTGACGGGAATCGAACCTGGGACCCTTCAGTCAGCAGGCCGATGCTCATTCCACTGAGCCAAACCGGTGAGGGCTAGAAAGAATTTTTTAATAACCTGGCACACAAGTAGAACAAGATGTGTTGCTTTTAATATATATGTTCATAGAAATCAGGAGGCTCTCACACAAATTAACATAGCACAGAAGTAGCCTAGCTTTGAGGGCATGGATGGAGAAGTGAAACAAGGCAGAAGAGAAAGGACTGCCAGTAGCTAAGGAAGCTCTGCCCCATCAGAGGAGCCTACACATATTCCAAGTGCAAGAGAGCACCAGAAAAATCAGGAGGATCTTTCTGAGCTGCTTCCACCCTTTATAATCTTTCTGTTTTTATGTGACTAGAGGCCCGGTGCACAAATTTGTGCACCAGTGGGGTCCCTCAGACTGGCCTGCAGGATGGGGCCAAAACTGGCTCTCCAATATCCCCTGAGGGGTTCCGGATTGCAAGAGGGTGCCGGCCAGGCTGGGAACAATTGGGGCCAGGGAGGGACGCAGGAAGTTGGCCAGCAGGGGAGGGACTGCAGGAGGGCTCCAGGGTGTGTCTGGCCCATCTTGTTCAGTCCCAATCAGCCGGACCCCAGCAGCAAGCTCACCTATCAGATGGAGCGTCTTCCCCCTGGTGGTCAGTGCATGTCATAGCAACTGGTTGACTGTCTGCCCCTTGGTGGTCAGTGCACATCATAGCAAGCGGTTGAGCAGCCTTAGCATATCATTAGCATATTACGCTTTGATTGGTTGAAAGGATGACCCGACGACCGAACACTTAGCATATTAGGCTTTTATTACATAGGATACTTATCAACAGAAAGACCACATCTGAAAACCTTTCACTAGTAAAGATGATATTCAACATTGACAAGACATTTGAACACATTTACAGCTTTAGACAATTTGATTTTATGGGTTTCTGGGTGTATTTTCACTCTTATAACTCTCAACCCACTAGACTCTCACAGGGGGCTCAGAAAAGCCACCAGCAAACTTGTTCTGCTTATCACAGTGCCCTGACTAGTGCTCCTACTAGTGGCAGGTGTATTGCACACTCATGATGAACATTGGCTTCTGTATGAACAGAAGCATTCATGTTTTTATTTGCAACTAATAATTGTAAGCTGCAGTTGTAGTTTATCACCCAACACCGCAAGAGGCATCTCTGATCTACCCATGCTAAACTTTGTTGCTAGGATAGAGACTTTCCAGGAAATGGGCAAGGAGACTATAGACTGAAGTGGTTGTATAAGAGAATTAAATTTGTATCCCATTTATAGCCCTTCATAACCTTGAATGAAGAACTTATGATCTGAGCTTCATTCTCTTCATTTTTAAATAAGTACAACAATTTGCTATTCCTCTTGGTTGTTATGATAGTTAACTTAAATAGCATAAACAGATTACAGTGGTCTATAAAGTAATATACATTTGTATAACATTATTTTCAATGATTATGATAATAATATTAATAATCATAAATATGAATTGTTTTCAACCATACAGTAGTTCACTCATGTTTCTCTTGATGCATCAAAATAAAATACCACTGGAAATTCCAATTGTATAGTAAATTATGTTTTCTTCCCTCCTCTTCCTATTTTTCTTAACCAATGCCAGCCCCCACCACATTTGAAATCATTCTCCTTCATGTTTTACAAGCTAGACATATGGGCCTGTATTTTGAAGACAACGGTAAAATTAAAATCTATCACTTTGCTTTAAAACTTGAAAAGACTTAACAGGATGGCATAACATTCACTTCTTTTTTATAAGAGAAAAATCATGCTGGACAGAATCCCATTACCTTCCTTGTGTATTGCCCGCAGAATGGTCTGTCAGACACATTAATCACTCTGAGAAATGCATATTTCAAAGAGCTCTGTTATAGTAGTCTAAATTTCATTTTTTAGAGTAAATGAGGGAGCAGTTTTTCGCCTACTTAAGCTGAAGCATTTGCATTTCAATTGACATTATCCTTTTGAGTTTGAATTTTTTCACAAGAAAGTGGCTCTGTAAAGTGGATTCTCTTGTTTTTAGATTTCCTTCCAGTCAAGGGGATACTCTGGAAGCATAGCATAAATTGTTGGAAACAAGCCCTCTTCAAAACATGTCTCAAAAGCTGACCTTTAGAAACTCTATGGAAATTCCAGGCTGTGTTTTAAGAAACAGGGCTGAGCATATAGACATATAAGGCATCTCAGATGGTAATAATCCCAAAGTCCTCATTTCACTGATGGGGAAACTGAACCTCAACAGGTAGGACAATTTGTCCAAGATCTAGGGAGAATAATGGCAGAGTATTGGCCCCAAACCAGGTCCCTGAATTCTGGTTTACACTGCTCTCAGTGTGTTTCCTGTGATAAGGAATATCTGACCGATAACAAGTTTTTTCAAGATTCCACAGTCAGTAAAGTGTAATTGACCCGTTAAAAAAAAGATGAAAGAAAGAAAAAAGAAAGAAATAAACAAACAAAGAGAAGGAAAGCCAATAAAAGCTGTTTTCCTTGACTTCTTTACCTATAGGAAAATAAAATATTCTATTTGAATTCTACTAGTAACATTTATTAGCTGTGTGACCTAGAAAATTACTTAACCTTTAAATGTCTTAATGAAACCAGACAACCAATGGATCCGGGCTGCCTGTCACTACCTGAGCCAACTAAGCAGATTTAGGGTTGAATAGCATATGAGCATTTATACCAATAATGCCAAAGTATGGGAGAGCAGCAGGTCATCCACAAAAACCTGCTCTACCTCTCCCCATAAGCCAGTTGCTTATATTGGGTAGAAGGACAAAGATTACATGGGAACATAAGAATTACAGGCATGGGAAAGTAGGTAATGTATAATGGTTACAGGTTACAGGCAGTGCAGGCTGGGGGTCACAGAGGGCGGGTGCATTCTGGACCAAATAGTCTCAGCAACAAGGTTGTTAGTCTAGGCCAGTGGTTGGCAAACTGAGGCTCAGCAAACTGCAGCTCAGCAAACCATGGCTCGCAAGCCAAATGCGGCTCTTTGGCCCCTTGAGTGTGGTTCTTCCACAAAATACCGGCTGTTCCCCAAAATACTGACTTCTGCACATGGGCCATGAAGTTTCAATCACACTGTACGTGTGCGCCCGCACATGATATTTTGTGGAAGAAGCACACTCAAGGGGTCAAAGAGCCGCATGTGGCTCACAAGTTGCAGTTTGCTGACCACTGTTCGAGGCAGTTCTCAGAAAAGGAAGATGGACATTCCGATGTTAGTTCCCATGTCCCTGGGCGTACAACTCAAACCAGGTTAGAATGTGCTTTCTTTGTCAGAGCAGAACAACCACGATTAACAGAGCATGGTTAATATTTCTTATAACTAGTTCCCATTTTTCTACTTCTGCCTCTAACACTAATATCAACAGATGTTAAAAAAATAATGTAAATGCTAATTCCCATATTTGACATATAGTAAAACTTAATACATTTTACTGATTCTACTTTAGGAAATCTAGAATTTTCACTGTTCAAAACAGGGCCATCTAGTGATTATTAGACTTGCCGCATCAAAAAAGGTCTACACCACTCCTCCACTATACAAATGTACTCTCTCCTGTGCTATCTCAGTCATGTATCCCTCAGTCATCAATTATATTAATCAATGATATCCATCAGCTCTCCAATTCTAATGCAGTTTCATTGTTACCATGGCACTTAATCCTTAATTCCACTATTTTGAATATTTAGTGACCCACATTATTTTAATTTTTCAGTGATGCCTGGAACAAAGATTTCCTTAGGTTTATTTTGAAAACTAAATATTATACTTCTCAATTTGTTAGTGAATTTAACACCAGTTAAATATATAGGTGAAAATTGTAGTTTATAAGATACTATTTATAAAATAGAGCTACATAGATGTGGGTTTTATAGTCTAGAAATTATGTAAGTTTTTTTTTTAATCTTTTCAGGAAAATGTAACAATAATAATATGGAGTTTAGCCCAGGAATGCAAGACTGCAAGACTGGGTCAACAGTCAAAAATCAGTCATTACAATTCATCATATCAATAAGCCAAAGGGGGAAATATATATATTAATCTCATAATATGCAAAAAAAGCCTTTTACAAAATTCAACATTTATTTCTAACAAAACTTTCCAAATTTAGAGATAGAAATACTATTTCTCAACCTGATAAAAGGCATTTACAAACAAACAAACAAGTTATAGCTAACATCAAATCCTATCTAATAAAAGGGTAATATGCAAATTAACTGTCACTCCATCACAAATATGGCGGCCCCCATAATCACAAGATGGCGGCGCCCAGTCCTCTCAGCCGTGCCAGAGTCCCCCAGTCCCAGGGGAATGGCCGCTGATAGTGGGCAGCATGAGCGGACTGGCAGAATGCTTGCTTCATCGCCGTGGCGACAAAGCAAGCGTTCTGCGCCAGGCCACGGATGGGCCTCTGGGCCACGGAGAGCCTCTGGGCAGCAGGCGCAGAGCGGCCAGGCCCTGCAGAGAGCTACTGGTGCATGGATTTGTGCACAGGGCTACTAGTTTAAAGATAAAAGATTTTGTGTAGAAATCAATAGGTCATTTGTAACATTTATATGGGAAAACAAAGAAATTAGAGTAGCTAAAGTTTACAAAAAGAAATTTGAAAGAACTATATCACCTGAAGACACATACCTATATGTGTAGCTTTATAATACAATTCAAAGACATCAATGTAATGGAGTACAGTCTAGAAATAGACTAAAGAACATATGGCCAAATATTATTAATAAAGTTGAAAAAATAGTATTTTAAAAAATAATGTTGTATGCAACAAAATGAAATTAAACAAAACTTGTTCCTACTTCACACCATATATAAAAATTAAATCAAAATTAACCATAGATCTACCTGTAAAACCTAAAATCATCACATTTCAGGAAATAAACATAGGAGAAAACTATTGCTTTCTTGGGTTAAGTAAAGATGCCTTAGCTATGACAGAAAATGCATACTATAAAGAAAGAAGTAAACTTCATATAATTACGAACAACTACATTTCAAGAGTAACTGTTAAGAGTGAAAATAAAGGCCATTGAGTAGAAGAAAATATTTTAAAACAATTTATCTAATAAAAGACTACTATCCAAAATGTATGATGAATTTTTAAAGCAGAAAAATAAAAGAAAACCACAAAGGAAGATGTTCCCTTTTCTTAAGGGCTTGTGATTTTATTCTGTTTCATTTTTAGTAGTTTCAATTGCTTTATCTTCAAATTCACTAATCTCTGCTTCTACATTCCCTAATCTGTATCAATTCCACTGTCTTTATCATCTCAGTTATTAAAAATTTTTCAATTTTCAAATTGAATTTAACTTATTTTTATAACTTTCATGTATCTATCATTCTCTGTCTTTTACTTCTTGAACATATGAAATACAATTACAAAAATAAAACTATTTTAATGCATTTCCCTACTAATTCAATAATAACAATAATATATTGTCTGATTTTGGTCTTCATTATGGATTTGACTTTCCTAACTTTTTTGCATGCTAGACTTTGGAATTTTACTCTGTTGCATTTTCTATATTTTTTATTTCCTTTAACTACACTTGTGTATTTTTCCAGGGTACAATTTTGTTACTTGGAAACAGATTAATTCCTTCAAGGATTCTTTTTACTTATGTTGAACAGGACACATCTATTTTTGAGGGCTCATTTTACCCCCACTGAATATATATTTCAAGTAATCTACTATGAACAATGATGTTTTTGTCTTTGGTCATGGGAAACAGTCCTGTCCTTGCATGTGTAAGCTTTAAAAATTATTTCCTCTGCAAAAAAATAGCTCAAAATGGACCAAATATATAAATAAAAGACATAAAATTATAAAACTCTTAGAAGAAAACATGACCTTCACTTTGGCAATGAATTTTTAGATATGATACCAAAATCATGAGCAGCAAAAAGAAAATTAGATAAATTACACTTATTCAAAATTTAAAACTTCTTTACTTTAAAGGACATAATAAAGTGAAAAAAGAACATACAGAATGGAAATAAATATTTGAAAATTATGTATCTGATAAAGGTTTAGTTGTCAGAATGTATAAAGAACTCTTACCTCTCAAAAACAAAGGCATCTCAAAAATAAGCAGATGTTTGCATAAACATATTTTGCATAAGGTATAAAAACAGATAACAAGAACATAGCAATACTCAACGTTATTAGTCATTAGGAAAATGCAAATCAAAATCACAACAAGTGATTCACACTCACTAGGATGTCTATTTAAAAACAAAGGAAAATAACAAGTGCTGATGAGCATGTGGAGAAATTGAAACCCTAGTACATCGATATAGGAATGTTAAAAATGTAGCCATTGTAGAAAATAGTATGTCAGCCCCTCAAAAAGTAAAACAGAATTACCACATGACTCAGCAATTTTACTCCTAAGTATTTATTCAAAAGAACTGAATATAGGTATTTAAACAAGTACATGTGTTCACATGCTATGGCAGCACTATTCAAAATAGACAGAGGTGAAAACAGCTCTAACGTTCAACTACAGATGAACAAATAAACGAATTGTGGTATATGCACACAATGAAATATTATTCAACCTAGAAAGGAATGAAGTACTGATGTGTGGTAGAACATAGGTAAATCTCTACAATATTTTAAGTGAAAAAAGCCAGACACAAAAGGTCACTTATTATGTAACTCCATTTACAAGAAGTATTCAGAATAGGTAAATTCATAGGAATAAAAGTATATGATATGATCGAGCTGGGGGCAAGGGAGAACAAGGGCAACTGACTTAATGGATATAAGTTTTCCTATTGGAATAATGGACTTATTTTGGAACTAGAGGTGGTGATTGTAAAACATTGTGAATGTACGAAATGGCACTGAATTGTTTACTCTAAAGTGGTTAATTTTATGTTATGTGAATTTCATCTTAATAATAATAAATAATAGATAATCATCCCTCTGATGCTTTTAGAGATACCAAAGTTGGCTCTCCAACTTTGTTAATTTCTTTACATGAATGCATTCATAAGCACTCAATTGAAGATTCAGGGGTGAATATCTGCAGATCTCTCTCCCATTGTACTCTTGTGAACTCTACTTGCCTTAGTCCCTCTGGACTCTTAAACTCTGTCTTTTTAAATCAGAGATATCTCTGGCCTCTACCTGGTTCTCAATACCTATGCTTCAATTTTTAAAAATCCCTAGATAATAAGCTGGAACAAAGTATCCTACTTATCTTCTTATTTATGTTTATCTCATCTTATTTATCTTCCAGTGTGTGGTATTGTCCTGCATTGCTCAATGTTCAATGTCTTAAATCCATGGTTTTATGGAAGTTGTTTATTTTTCAGTTGTTTTGGGGTGATGCTAATTTCAATGCCAGTTATCTAGTGTGGGCATAAATGAAAGGCAACATTTACTTTTTACTGAAGTGTTTGTCAACCTAGGTTTTCCATATTTATTCTCAGGTGTTCATTTTATAAACACATATACTTACACTTCTACACACACAGATATATTTTCCTCTTTAGAAGATATAAATGTACTACTTAAGTGTAAGAAACATTAATCTAAGGCTTCCTGAAGATAGAAAAGCATATGTGCATATGCTCACTATGTCACTTCAAATTCTATTGTATTCACTACAGCAATAGGAATTTCAACATCACAAGGCTCTTATCTCAGTGAGCACCATCACAGAGCTCTTCTTAAAGTTCAAAGTATGTTCTCTAATGAGATTTTACTGCCAAGAGTGAATACAAATAAGAAGTACACCTGCCCATGCAATCCATTGACACAGCCTTTCATCTTAATGGGTAGAAGATGTCCATAGGCTCTTCAGTATGGTAAGGGGATTAGACCGCCGAGGACAAACATTTCCTAACAATATCTCTTGATTAGAAATAACCACTGACAGTAAAGGAAACACTTATTATTAATGGAAAATGTAAATTTTAAAAGAAAAATGTATGTTCACCAGAACAACAAAAATTTGATTAACTGATTCTAACCAATGGGTAGATGGAGTAGAGAACCATTTTTCCTCAGCTTTAGGGCCACATGAACCTATATTCTAACTTTTTAAAAATATATATATTATAAAC